TAATTATTCAAATTAGCATATAAAATTATGCCAAAAATAATTAAAATTACCTTTAAATCATTTTCATAAAACATTAAAATTTAACTATTATTTTTTAAAACATTCAAAGAAAGGTAATGTGTTTTTTTTTTTTTTTTTTTAGAAGGGTGATGTATTTAAAGTTAAAGCTTGTTCAGTTTTCTTCGGTACCCCGTGCCGATGGGCACTTTGCCAGTTTCCCTTACAGTTTCCAACTAAAATGAAACATCACATTTTATGGGCCCACAAAGAGATGAGGCATGGATAAGGTCGATAATTTCGGATTCGCTAGATAGATACGTTCGTTGATCCAACGGTTGATGATCGATTTACGTGGATAGAATATCAAAACATAGATATTAACAAACACCATCGCTTTTACCATTGTTATTATCAACTGAAAAGAACAGCCTCTGCCATACTCTCTCAGTCGCTCCACCAACTCCGGCGTTTACAACCACCGCAGGTTAGCTTCCGTTCAAGATCCAACAATGGCCACCGCCACTTCCGCTGCTGCATCAGCCTTTATAGGCACCCGCTTGCTGAACGTGCATTCGAGTTTGGGCCGGTTCCAGGCGAGGTTTGGGGTTGGCGCAAAAAAGGCTGCGCCCAAGAAAGTCTCAAAGCCCAGTTCCGATCGTCCACTGTGGTTCCCCGGAGCTCAGGCGCCCGGGTGGCTAGACGGGAGCTTGGTGGGCGATTACGGGTTCGACCCGTTCGGGCTGGGGAAACCAGCGGAGTACTTGCAGTTTGAATTGGATTCTTTGGATCAGAACTTGGCAAAGAATGTGGCTGGTGACGTGATCGGGACCCGGACGGAGAGCTTCGAAGTTAAGCCCACGCCGTTCCAGCCGTACACTGAGGTGTTTGGGTTGCAGAGGTTCCGTGAGTGCGAGCTGATTCACGGGCGATGGGCCATGTTGGCTACTCTGGGTGCCCTCGCCGTTGAGTGGCTCACCGGAGTGACCTGGCAAGATGCCGGAAAGGTACGTCGGTAAATTTCCCCGCAAAAAAACACCAATTGGGTACTCAATTAAACTAATCGGCAAGGTACCCTGTTTCTGTTTCAGGTGGAGCTAGTAGAGGGATCGTCATACCTTGGGCAACCTCTTCCATTCTCCATGTCTACCTTGATCTGGATCGAGGTATTGGTGATCGGCTACATCGAATTCCAGAGAAACGCCGAGCTTGACCCTGAGAAGAGGCTGTACCCAGGAGGAAGCTACTTCGACCCACTTGGATTGGCATCTGACCCAGAGAAGAAGGCCAGGCTTCAACTGGCGGAGATCAAGCACGCCCGCCTTGCCATGGTCGCTTTCCTGGGCTTCGCCGTCCAAGCTGCCGCTACCGGGAAGGGTCC